ATTACAGAGATATTTAGTACTTTTAGGCAAAGATGTAATTAACACAAATTATTTTACGATATTAAGAAAATGTGCATGTATCTTTAAGGAACATATATAGAATATTCTATCAACCTCTTTATTTAAATATAAATCATTAAAAGAAATAATAAAAATTGAGACATAATGTAGTAATATCAAAAATACCCCACGCGAAATTGTTAATTACGTTTAAAAGAGTCATGCAAGTAATATAGTATTGAACAAGTGCCAGAGATGCCAAAAGCAAAGCGCGAAATGTACTAGGATAATAAGTACGAATAATCGAATAAAGATTAATAATTGAATAAAGATTATGCAAAAAACCACGCTAGTAAGAGCCTCTTTTTACTTCTTGCCTCTTGACATCACATTGTATAATTAACACGAGATATTTGAAATAATAAAATAATATCAAAAATATGTTCTATGTATAATATGTAATGACAAAGGTGGGGTATGGTATTCTAATAAATAATTACCCGGAGCTCGACAACGATCGCGAACGATCGACAAGATCGTGAAGAAATTCAATTGCCACACGCATTGTTTTACGCACGATGAATTCCGCGTCGTTGTCCCGAAAAAGCATCGTAGACACTTGTCGAACTCGCGCGTTTGAATTCACGAAATTGACGACGAAAGACGCTATATGTTTGCCGTGCTACGAGTCGCGTGAAATCCGTAAAACATCGTCACAACGCGCGGAATTTTCGCGGAATGGACTGTATGACTACTGCCTAAAATACGATCCCGAATGCCAAGACGGCGCATAATGGGTCAAAAATGAAATGCGTACCTGACAAATCCGCTCCAATTACTCAGCCTTGCCTTTGTGTCCGAACAGTGACGATGGAAAGTTCGCGGCCGTTGCTGGACTTTGAAGATCCTTTGGCTGGGCATCCTCCGCTTTCGTTTTCTCCCTTTACTGCACCTGAAACACATTACACATACACATGAGACTCAATTTGCACGAAAATATATATTCATATAATTTCGACGAGCCGGGTCGAAAAGAAAATTCACCTCATTTAGTCTCCGGTATTCCGCGAACGCGGCTAACTTCGCGATTTCACTGTGCTCGATCGCAACGAAAAGCACGAAAGAGGCGATCGAGAACATTCATCGACAAGATCGCAAGTTAATTCGACTTCCGCACGCATTATCTCACGCACAAATAATCCCCCGTTACTGTCGGAAACGAATATTGCACACACTTGTCGCGAACGGGTATTTGAACCGGTGAGAATTCAACGACGAAGGCGGAAGGACGATATACGGCTAATATGGCGGCGTGGCGAAGGTCTACTGCGCAGCGGCCGTGCTCCGAGCCGTGTGGAACCCGTAGCGTGACGCGAATGACGTAGGC